AGGCCAGCAGCAGGAAATACTTGGAAAACAATCTAAGTCCTAAATGCTTTGCCCCTTGTGGAGCCACCAGCCCGCTGAGGGCATACCACAAACACCTCACAGTCACCCGAGGGCTCCAACTTCACACATACTACACTTAGGAAAATTTTTCTAAGTCCTACATATTTTGGCCCTCGATCAACTCTCCATGATTACTCGAGGGGCCATACGGTCGAAGACTTGGTGAAGCTATACTTAGAGAAATTTTCTAAGTCCTACAGACTTTGACCCTCGGTCAAATCTCCATGCTACCTGAGGGCTCCTACTTCATACATGCTACACTTAGAAAAATTTCTAAGTCCCTTAAGTTCTTATCCTCGGTGACAAGTTTCTAAGTCTCGAATCTCCCTACAGCCCGAGGGGTCACACGATTGAAGGCTTGGTGAGACCACACTTAGAAATATTTTCTAAGTGCTAACTATTGCTGGGCCCTCGGTCATATATCCAGCAAGGGGTGCCCAACTACCGAAGGCTACAACTGTATTCAAACACTTAGAAAAATTTTCTAAGTCCTTAACACCTCGCCTCCGGTCATCTCAGGGAGGCTACATACAACCGGAGGGAAGGATTAGCCGGGGGCCAACAGATGAACAAACACTTAGAAATATTTCTAAGTCCTGAACATTTTGCCCTCGGTAAAAGGTTCAACTGACGACGTATTGCTAGTAGCCGAGGGCTACAAAAAGCACTACATTGGGAGAATATATTCTATGTCCTAAAACATACATTCAGGAAAGCAAAGGCACACATTCAAAAAAACGAGGGCATACATTCAGAGGAAAACAATCAAAGGAAACGAATTATGCGCAAAAAGCCCGAAGGCCGATATTCATTCATAAGGAGAATGGAAAAGTTAAAGTGTATATTACAAAATGGCCGACGCCGAGAGCATACAGATGTTCATTACAAATAAGCATTCAAAGGATTGTCTAAGTACGAGTCTCCTCAGGAACTTCAACCGCATTGCCCCCGGGAGCCTCCTCTACAGCAGGCTTCGAGGAGACCTCTACTCCGGCCTCCACGAGGTCGCCCTCTGCTTCCTTCATCAGCTCAGTATCCTCCAGGTCGGGCCGCGTAACGCCTGAGTTGAGGGGTTCACGAACATCCGGTTGTAAGGGGGGAAGACCATATGCCGAGGGATCGAAATCTTTCGGCTCAATTTTCAGGTGTCGGGCCATCCTTCGGTAGATGAGGGCCTGAGTAAAAAACTCGCCCCCATCAAAATATTCCTTGCCCTTTCGGGCCATCCATTCCTCACCCGGGCCCTCGCACCATTCATCAACGGAGGCCCCCACAACTGAGGACAGACACTCCTTGTATCCCTCGGCCTTCCACCCCTCGTCCAGGAACCTGGAGATGGCTTCCTCCCGAGCTTTGACCTCAGCCTTCACTCTGACGGCCTCGGCCTCCTCAGCGGTTTTCTTCGCGGCCTCCGCGGTAGCCTCCTCAGCCTTGGCTTTCTCCTCCCTGAGCCTCTCGGCCTCTGCTCTCGCAAGCTGGAGGTCCTCTTCGAGCTGGGCCATCAGCTTCGTGGCCTTGGAGTCCTTACGAATGAGCTCCTGCATCTTGGCTCTTGCCCAGCTTTGTGGAGACGCCATTCCTCCAGCCGTCGGGCATGTTCGCCGAGGGCAAGGCAAGCCTGCAAATCAACAACGCAAACTGTGAGGACAACCGCGCAAGATAATCTGAGGAAGGAGGGAAGAAAGCAAGAGGGAACTTACAGTCAAGGAAGATCGGAGGATCTGGTCCTCAAGCGCCACATCGTCCAAGGCTCCGAAGGTAGCCCCATCTGTTTCAGGGGTCATGCCCCTCAGGAGCACCCTCGGGTTGACCGTGCAGTTGGTCACGGCTGTTCCCCTCGGGAGGGAGATCTGCAGGACCTCTGGGGGCATCTCCTCCGTCCCCATCGGCTTTCCGGCCGTCGGCACATCCACAACCAGCTCGGAGGTTGAATGCTCATCCACGATCACTACCGGGGGGTCCTTCTTCGTGGCGTCCCCCTTCTTCGATCTCTTGGTAGCCGGGGGGATTCCTTCGTCGTCTTTTTCCTCTTTGCGGCCGCCACATCCCCCTCGGGCTTCTTGAAAAATGCACCAACGGGCTTTTGGCCGCCCGCATCCGACCCCTTCGGATCTTTGGCCGGCTTGTTCTTAAACCGAGCAAGGCCTTTCACGTTCATCTTTGAAACGGGAATACCTGCAAAATAGTGAAGGGTTAGGCCGACGGGTCAACAACCATGGAGCAATAACATCAAGGTAAAAGAAAAAAAAGGGAGAAGAAAAGAACAGTAAATACTAAGTACAAGGACAAGGGCCCTCTTAGACTACCTCCTGCTCCCCCGAAGGCCTCATCAAAAAGGGGATACTTCTCGTCCGTTTCCCCGATGAAGCGATATCTCCGGAAGCCGAGGGCGAAGAGTTCCTTGTCAGCAGTGTAGTCTTTAATAGACACTTGCTTCGTGCGACCCTCCGGGATTTTGGCTATTATCAAGCCATCCTTCTCGAGAGCGGCGTTTCCAACCTTCGGATGCCGACAGAAGCGATCCCGAAGTTCCGTCGGAAATGGGCTCTCAGCAACTCTGACGTAGCACCATCGCTCCTTCCAGCCTTTATTGGACGAAGGCGCCTCTGTAAATAGCTTCCACCTAGCTATCTGCTGCAGGTTGGCGAAGCCCTCGGCATTCGCGTGACCCCCTCGGCAGAGGTTGAAGCTCTGGAAAAACAAGTCCAGGCTGGGGGTCGCCTCTCGGTCCCTGCAGAGGTTCAAAAAACCCGCCACGTAGGAGTGGCTGTTAGGTGTCAGCTGGCAGGGGACCAAGCCAATGAACCTAAGGTACTCCCGGAGGAAGGGGTGCAGAGGGAACTGGAGGCCCATGGAGACCGACAGTATGTGTACTGCAATGCACCCCTCGGGCGCCCGAGACAGCACATCATCAACTCCCGGCTCGACCACCACGGCCGAAGGCCCTACGTGCAGCTGCGTGACGTAGAAATCCGCCTTGTCCGCCTTCGACTTTATCTCGAGGGCCTCAGTGTTCAGCCAAGAATACCCCTCGGGCATATCAACGGGCTTCCCTTGGTCGGCGGCCCCGACCTTCTTCTTGGTAGCAGCTTTCGCCTTCTTCTCCCTCGATCCGGGGGCTACTCTCAAGGGCGTCGGGTTCAGTGGCCTCGAGCTGCTTGCTTCACCAGAGCCGCGGGGGGGAAGGACAGCCACTGTCACCCTCCTCCTCTCCTTCTCTTCCTCCTCCTCTGCAACTTGTACGGCGAAGGCGAGCTCTTCATCCTCCGCCTCTTGCTCAAAGCCCTCGGCTTCAACTTCAGCAACTAACTCTTTCTGCATCTCAATGGCGAGGGCAACGTCACCGCCGGCCGAAGGCTGCTCACTCAGAGTAGCCTAGAGTACCAAGCAGCCCACAATGCGCACCAGAGGTGCCTTCGGCCCCCTGGCCGAAGGCTCTAACTTTCACAGGAAGGCCAGGACAGCAAAACAAAGTTGCTGGGAAAAACGGCGAAAATCAGTAGCCCTCGGCACCTGGAGCCCTCGGCACCAAGGGGGTCCCCAGTACTCAGAGCCCTCGGCTAGTCCTCTACAGCCGAGGGCACCTTTCCCGACATGATATCCATGCCACATGCGTACAGATCACCATACCCTGTACAACGTCCCATCCAACAGCCGCATTAAATGCGGCCACATGCGGTTGCCAGCGCCAACCAGTCGAGGTGACCTCTCGGCCAATGGACGCTTGACACGTGTCCCTGTCCGGCATTTATTGCTACTATAAATAGAGCCCCATTTCCCCATTTGTAACCACGCTGAAAACGCTCCACACTTTACAATATACTTTCTCTCTCTATATTTACTTGCTCCGACTTCTCTCTTATTATTCCCCGCAATAACCCCTCGGATAAGCTACCCCCGGGTACACTATCCATCAATTATTTTACATCAGAAACTATGCTCACAGATACTTTTGTAATATTACATTGTTTTGGCCAGCGAGCCTACGTTTTGCCATATGTGGCTTATGATTGACCGTTGAATATTTTCCGCTATTCATTCAATCTATGATGTGATGTTGTTATGCATGTTTACTACTGAGTATGGTGTGAACGATGTTCATGAACGCCTTGTGTGATTATGTGAGGTTGACTTGCGAGTGACGTCACTTAATCACACGGCGGTTGTACACGCGCTCAGATGCGGTCTGGGTGTGACAGGGCAGATGGAAAGATGAAATTAAGGAAATGCTATACAGGTCTGAAATCATAGGGGTTTCCTTTTTCGCAAAATGCTAAAAGTATCCAAAATGTACCCCATTTTTACCTCCAGCCCCTAATGTGTGGCCATAAATGAATCAATTCATTTAAGTGGTGCCCCACTTAAATGAATTATCCCGTTTATGGCCACATATTAGAGGGCGAGGTAAAAATGGGGTACATTTTGGGGTACCTCTAGAAAAACTCTTCCTTTTTGCACATTATGCGTGAAGCCAACCGGATTTACTTGGCCCATCATCTGGCAGATCAACCTTCGGCCCATCAAATTGTATTTGCTCGGATAGTTGATCTACCAGCCTAGGTAAAAAATGCATACTACATGGACTTATTTGGGATTCCCTCCCTTGGATTTTCTCATTAATTTTTTCTTTGTTTCAATTTTTGATGAGATGTTTTGGTCTAGTCCTCCTTTTCTTGTATTCATTTTCTATTTTTCTTAATAAAATCCGATAAATATTCCCTGACGTTTTAACCCACTGATTTTGGTGGTTTGTCATCCTGGTTTTAAAAAAATGTAGTGATTGTAGTAATACTTTAGTGATATTAGCTTATGTTTAAATTTTACACTTAAATGATTATGACATTTATTATAATAACTTTTAGTTATATCGGAGTAAATTTTATTTCAATAATATTTTTTAATTGATGATATATTATTGCGGTGAATGGAGGAAGAAATTTAGTGCGCATAGACAATTTAATTAAAATAGTACTTCGAAGGTATAATTGATGATAAAGGCTGAAAATATTGTAGGCGCCGAGCCTTTCCTGCGGTGCGCTGAGAATATCCCAAGGGTAATTGTAGGCAAATCGCTAGTGTGATTGAGAAAGGGAAGGTATTGGTACTTTCTCAATTAGGTCTGTTCTCTCTCACTCGTCATTTGTTTCAGAGTCCAAAGAGCAAACAGATGAGCAAAAATTTCTCTCCAATCTGATAAAGTACTTTTTAATTTTGGGTATGCTATGAAAAGCCCTAATCCTTACTCATCTCTTCTTCCACTGATATATGTTTTTCTTCTCACACATACACTCTATACTCTGCAACTCTTGTATATCTGCCCTTTCTCCTTACCGCCTATGCGCCCAAGGTTTCTTCTTAGCTCTCATCTGTTCGACGGAATTTTAGCATTTTCTTTCCATCCATTTAAATTGACACCCCCTCCGCCCCAGCCATTTAAATTGACACGGGTGGGGCGTGAAGAGTTGGTCTATGTGGGGATCTTTACAAGAATCTTCACACTCCTCGAAGCCATGAGGCTGCTTTGAGATCAGTTATCTTCTACATGTTTACTTTCTGATGTCTATGTTATGTCGGAACCATATTAACTTTATTTGGGTATTTATTTTGCCAATTTGCCCTGGATGTTGTATTTATTTAACCAATTAGGTGCTGCTAACGTTTATTTTACATCACTGTATGCTAAGCAGGCAACATTGTCTCTGTCCCAATTTTCACTTACATGAAAAGGTCTGGCTTGTGAACTGTCAATGGCTGACAACACAGAAATTGATGACCGGGTGGATCTTGATGATGATAATTACATCGAAGAGGATGATGATGTGGAAGAACAGATAGAAGATGAAGGAACTGAAGATGGTGGTGAGGAAAATGATGAACAACCAGAGGATTTAGGAGGCGGGGATAGTGGGGGAGAGCAGTCAACTGATGAAATAGATAAAGTTGAAGAAAAGGCCAATGCTTCCTTGAGTGAAGATGAGAAAAAGAAGTTTGCCGAACTTCTTGATATTCCTCCCCATGGTTCTGAAGTCTTTATTGGTGGGCTATCTAAAGACATTGCAGAAGAAGACTTGAGGGATCTATGTGAACCAATTGGTGACATTTTTGAGGTTAGTCTTCTTTCATTTCCTAGAAATTATGGTCTCCATTGGGTAGCCATAATCAGCTTATTATCAGCAAAATAAGTATATTTTGGTTGAATCAACCAGATGTTACCAAATTCTTTTCATCTTTGAAACTTCCGCATACTACATTTACAGGTGGGATTTTGATGGGAAGTACTGCAGTAGCGTTTATGGAATTTTGTAGTGGGTTTTTATGAAATTTCATCACAACATCAATTTTATGATATTTTAAAGCAGAGCGCACTGTGTGGCAAGAAAGTAATTGCATTTTATATTTAACTTTATATTAATATGTAACAATATCTGTATTCAATCATCTAGACTATTTTATTCATTAATTATGTAGCAAAGTTATGAGAAAAAATAAGTATGCACATGTTTAAAAATTATCATTTATTTTTCTACATTTATGCATTTCCCTCACGTTTCGTATCCTACATTTTTCAAAAATACTGTTTTGAAATTCCCCGCTACTTAAGAGCCATAATCCATTTTATACATATTGCAATTGCCTATATGTCTGGTTTTGGTACATTTTGCAGATTAGAGTCATGAAAAATAGGGACACTGGAGAAAGCAAGGGTTTTGCTTTTGTAGCATTTGGAACTAAAGACGTTGCCCAAAAGGCCATTGAGGAGCTGCACAACAAGGAATTCAAGGTAACTATTGTTATTAAGTATTTATTAAGATATATTTTTTGTGGTGCAACCGCACAATATTGTCTACTATGTCATATATATGTGTGTTTGTGTCTAATCTATCCAGGGAAGGAAGTTGAGGTGTTCTTTGTCAGAAACTAAGTACAGATTGTTCATTGGCAATGTTCCAAAGAGCTGGTCTGATGAAGAGTTCAAAAATATCATAGATGAGACTGGACCTGGTGCCGAAAACATTGAACTTATTAAGGTGTCTCCTAACTTGTTGAGAATTTAAATTAAATGTTCTGTTTGGCATTGGAAAATATTTCTCAGAGAAACATTTTCCTTGAGTCTTTGAACAGCGTCTATTCCTAGTAATTTTTTTGGAAAACATTTTCCACACGAAGTTAAAAAACATTGCCTAAGCGCTTATGGTTTTCTTGCAATGGCTTTTTTGTATTTATATATTTTTATTGCTCATCTGACACTCTCTACTATTGTTTGGTTGCAGGATCCTCAAAATCCTTCTCGCAATAGGGGATTTGCTTTTGTTGAATATTACAATAACGCTTGTGCAGATTACTCGAGGACAAAAATGTCAAATGCAAATTTTAAGCTGGATGGTAATACACCAACTGTAACCTGGGCTGACCCGAAGATTACACCTGATACGTCTGCTGCTGCTAATCAGGTATGGGACCACCTTGCTTTGGAGTTCTATGTAAATACTTATTGGTAGTGATAAATGTGAAAAACTTGCTGATGTTTTGGTCTATTTAGAGCTCTGAAAATGCCAGGAAATGAAAATAGTGTAGAAACAGAGGAAAGTGGGAAGGAAAAGAAAGGTAGGGTGCAATAAAAGAATATTCTCTTAAACTTAGTTGTGGCCAAAAATTTTTTATTTACATATTTGTTGAATATAAAGAGTAAGTCAAAATGAAAATAGAGTTTTAAAAATATTTAATCAAATCTTTCGCTTTTCCCAGCATTTCCTGAGTTCCAAGCATATCATGGTTTATTTGTTTGTCCTGATAACCATGATACATTAACCATATATTGCTCAACTTGTAAACAGACTCTTTTGAGTATCAGTAATTAAGGTTGTGTAGGTCAATACTTTTTTATTTTTTTAAAGTGTGTTAAAATTTTGTTTTGGTTTACTTAATTTCGTGGCATTGCCATCTTTCAATACAGGTCAAGGCCCTGTATGTGAAGAATATTCCTGAAAATACACCTTCTGAACAATTGAAGGAAATCTTCCAACGCCACGGAGAAGTCACTAAGGTCGTTATGCCACCAGCTAGAAGTGGTGGAAAACGAGACTTTGGATTTGTTCACTATGCGGAAAGGTCTAGTGCATTGAAAGCCATCAAAGAGACTGAAAAATATGAAATTAGTGGTAAAGCCTCCTACTAATTTCTTGTGCCTTTATAAATGCAATCTAAGCAACCATTGTTGGTGCACATAAATGTCATTTTACATAGATAAACTAGGAATAAACGGTAACAATGAATATGCCATAAATTTATCATTGGTATGAGAGTAGAGGGAGAGAACGATCCAAACATACTTGTAATCTTGTATTAGGTTGGATGAGAATATGACTTTGGAGAGTGCGAAGTGGAGGGGGAGTAAACTTGTGGATGATTGATCTCTTTTTAACTCTTTTAACTCTGATTTCATATGTTGATTTGTGTTAGCCGACACCAAACGCTTTTGGGACTTAGGTTTGGATATTGTTGTTGTTGTTGTAGTCATGTAGATGGCTTTAATTTCATTCAGGCACTGAAGCATGATATGCACAGATCTGTTGATTACTTTTATGTTGGAATGCTTGGATATATGCTTGCAGGTCAGGCGTTGGAAGTGGTTCTAGCAAAGCCCCAGGCTGAAAAGAACTTTGTCATGTCTAACCCACACAATCCAATGCCACATCCTAATTTTATTCCACACATAGGTGGTGGTTATGGCAGTTTCCCTGTCAGTCCTTATGGAGCAGTAGCAAGTGGCTATGGCGCTACTGCTGGATTTCAGCAGGTATTTGCTTGCTTGAGTCCCCCCACGCCTAACCTCGACTAGGTTTATACTTATGTTTCTTGAACTTCATGCTTTTGCTTGCAGCCTATGATATACGGAAGGGGCCCCATGCCAGCTGGTATGCAAATGGTACCGATGGTTCTTCCAGATGGCCGTATTGGCTACGTACTGTGAGTTTTCGTTTCTCTGTGTTGTTCCGCTGAACCCCCATCGTAGCTTTGTGTAATCCGTGGCTTACGAACCAGTATGATATTGCAATTGTGTAAAGTGATGTGAATACTTGGGTGTGATGAGACTTTTTGAAAAACTAAATTACAAATAGTTTTACCAACAGCTGGGTGATGTGGTTTGAAGCATCTTTTGATTGCTGTGCCTTTTACGGTGTTTAATAAGGATAGATTTCAAGTCACAAATGTTCTTTTATTTTTGCCAAATGAACCCAGCATATTTGTTAGGCGGGAGTGCCCTGAAGTCTATTTCTTTTCCAGCCTAATTTTCACTTTTGGAGAAATTTGGAAGTTTGGTAGATATGAAGTATTCTAAAGGAACTCATATTCCTTCAAATCCAGCAAAAAAACTCCCTAGCTACACCCTAGTATTTTCTTTTGCTTTCCATGTGGGAAGAGAATGAGGCATGAAATGACCAAAATATCTTCCAATTACTTTTATCATCGTTGTGCTGTCTCTACATTCTCATGCTCACCAAACAGTAGAATAAATATCTCCGACAACTTTGTTCTGTCTACCCAACAATGGAATTTGAATTACTATCTTATTCTTTTACTATGGAATTTAATTCCATTTCTACCTAGACTTTACTTAACCTAACCCCGATTCCCATTCTGTCGCATAGTGCTTTTTATACATTTGTTTTTCCTTGACTTGGAAAGATCATGTGTCCTTTTATCACTTTCTCTGTACTTGGGTTACTATTGAGAGTTATTCATGCAGTCAGCAGCCCAGTGGGGTACAGATACCAAGTGTACGACCTCGGAGAAATGACAGAAGCAATGGTGTTGGTGGGCTCCAAGGACGAGGTACATCTAATAGTGGCCACGATGATGCCAGCCGCAATAGGCGTTTTCGTCCATACTGATTGGGAAAATTTGTTACTCTGGGTAACATGTAATGTCAAATGGCTGAGCCATGTCAGGATAATTAATTATTTAGATCTTTTTTTCATCATATGCAAACAAAACAGAGCAAGTTTACCTTATACTTGGACCTTTTTTTTTTGGACCCTTTGTAGCAACTTCTTTATAAATTGGTGTAACGGATGGTACTGTGTGACTCTTCATTGATTGGGAGTTGCGTTAAATGTTTGTGTCGTTTTTCCTTCTTGGAGAGAAGTAATACGGAGTATCTAGTAGCATTGTTTTTCAAAGTCTGTCTCGCTCATCCCTAGCGCACTACAACTATAGGTTCTGATTGAAATGCATTTTCTATCGCATCCTGTTGTCGTGTCGGGAGTTGGAGGTTGCCCCAAGAATCAATTTAGCCCCGGATCTTATGACGGACTTCTTGATGGACTTGGATGTGGTCAAAAGTTCCTCTTGATTAGCTTTGAGAGCATCCACATTGCTTCCCACATTCTTTTAGGGTGTGTTTGAGAGTTGAGTTTTGGAGGGGAGAGGGAGGTTGATGGGGTTTATAACCCTCCTTTTCATGTTTGAGAGTTTATAAAACTGGAGGGGATGGTTTTGGAGGGCTTTCATGACCCTCCAAAACCCTCTAAATGTCTAATTTTTAAGTTCTCCCAATTTGGAGGGTTTTGAAGGATAACTAATGAAATAGTAATTTAAGCTCAATTAAAAATAAATATCAGTTCAATTATTTAAATTCGTCATATCTCAAAGTAATTTTAATTATAATTCATTCAAAAACTCTCTTCTTCCAAATTTATTACTCTCAAATACAAAGAAGTGCTTCTTCACCCTCCCCTCCCTTAGTCTCTTTCCCCTCCAACAACATACCTCCAAAACCTTCCCTTCCCCTTCCCTCCGAACTCCCAAACATACCCTTAGGGTCTGTTTGGGAGTTGGGTTTTGGAAGGGAGGGGAACGTCAATTGTTTTAGGGTCTGTTTGGGAGTTGGGTTTTGGAGGGGAGGGGAAAGTTGATAGGAGTTTATAACTCTCCTTTTTATGTTTAGGAGTTTATAAAATTGGAGGGGACGGTTTTGGAGGGCTTTCATGACCCTCCAAAACTCTTTAAATGCTCAATTTTTAAGTTCCTACAATTTGGAGGGTTTTGAAGGATAATTAATGAAATGATAATTAAACTCAAGTAAAAATAAATATCAATTCAATTATTTCAATTCGTCATATTTCAAAGTGATTTTAATTATAATTCATTCAAAAACTTTTTTTTTTTCAAATTTATCAATTCGTCATATTTCAAAGTGATTTTAATTATAATTCATTAAAAAATTTTTGAAGGTATGTTCTTGGAGGGGAAAGGGAGAGGAGAGTGAGAAAACCCTTCGTTTCATGGAGGGTGAGAAAATTCTTGAGCATGTTCCTCATCAAGTCTAGTTTATGCATATCAAATTTCAGCTCAAAATTCAATCGGAAAGGCAGTTAAACAAATTCTTGAAACATACTGCGTTTTATATATGTACAAAATGGGACGTAAGAGAAGAGTCGCCACTTGAAGTGGCGGCTTTTGGGAAGTAATACAAGAGCCACCACTTGGAGTGGCGGCTTTCCTTAAATGTGGTTTATTCCAGCAGTATTTTGGGAATTATTCTTAACCCGACAATATTTCAGGAATAATTTATTTAATTAGCATTATTCTGGAAAAACACTCTAGGAAAAAGGAAAAATTCACATGAATAATATTAGTGTTGTCATATTAATCCCAAATATTGGTGATTGGCAGTCTTCTGAAATTGATCTATTGAGCCGGTAAAAGGAAAAGAAACTGAAATTAAAAATAAAAACAAAGGTGAACAACACGAAGAACACTGGTTCAATCATCTTTTGGTTTGCATCTGAAGTGAAAACGGAACAACAGTTAGCAGGCTAGGACCAGCAGCGACGAAGACCAACACGCTCATCACCTCCATCTTCACTCCTCTTCAAAGACGACGACTGAGCATCCACCATACATTTAGTTGTCACACCACTTCCGGCGGTGGAAGTAGAAACCGACGCGTGAGTTTACACCACTATACAACTGAAGAAGATAAGATTGCATCAAATTGAAAAGGCCCATCTCCTCTCTCTAGACTGGCGAAAAAACCTAGTTCAGGCGACTGAATGAGCACCCCTGCGGTGGCAGAGGGGGCGGCGCCTCCCCCTCCGGCCAACAATCAGGCATGGTCTGGGCGTTCGTTTGCATCGGTGGTTGTTGAAAATTTTAATAAAAAGAAAGTTTCTGAAATAGGACTAAAATAGTTTCAAAATTCCAAAATAAGACTATCATATTTTTTATTCCCAAAAATAGAACTAATTACTGCCATGTTTGAAGTCTGGTACTGCCATAACATGACAGTAATTAGTCCTATTTTGAGAATAAAAATATGACAGTCCTATTTTGGAATTTTCAAACTATTTTAGTCCTATTTCGGATAATATCTCTTTAACATAATGTTACTCATTTTGATAGGAAATGTAACTTATGTTAAGTTGAAATGTAAGTTGTCTAAAATGAAATATAAGAAAAAACATTGATTTTAATGTAATCAATGACAATTGGTCATAATTGCTTAATTACTTTTTGTAAATAGTGAATATGTTTTTAATATTAGGGCTATACAAAATGATGTAGTTAAAAAAATCATTTTTTGGTCATTAGAAGGGGTTTATTTCATGGTGTAACTCGCGTACATTGAAATGTAACTCACACATAAACAGATGTAACTCACGAATAAGAAGATGTAACTTCATATAATATCAAATGTAAACAACGAAAATATGGAGTTTAATTGTGCAATTAATTTACATAAATAGTAAACATTATTTTTTTTGTTAAAACAAACCGAGAAAAAAAATAGGGTTTGCGGTGGCGATTTTTGGTTATTGAATGACGGAAGGTTCTGCGGTGGCTCTTCCACCGCCGCCACTGCCTGATGGCAAGGTTTGGTCCTGCAAATCGTTCGCTGATGTGGTTTCTAATAAGGAATCTCCTATTGCTTACTCTAGGTCTCGTTACAAAGGACTAGCGGCTATATCTTTTCCTGAATCCGACGTTCAACGGCTGGCTGATGCTCATAAAAGGTCATTGGTTGGCTATTTTTTCCGAGGAAGGCCTAGTCTTGCATTGATCAGAAAATCCTTTGAGATCATAGGTTTTAAAGGATCCTTCCACTTGGGCCATTTAGAGAAGAAGCACATTCTAATCCGTTTTGAGTCGGAGGAAGATTATCTCAGATGTTGGAATCGGCAGACTTGGTCTATTCAAGGTAATATTATGCGTGTTACGAAATGGTCTCCGGAATTCCGGCCAAACATGGAATCCCCTGTGGTTCCAGTTTGGATTGTTTTTGAGGGTCTCCCAATTCATTTACATGACAAAAGAGCCTTATTTGCTATTGCTAGTTTGATTGGAAATCCTTTGCATATTGATTCGGCTACAACCACTCTGGCTAAACCATCAATCGCTAGGATTTGTGTGGAACTTGACTTGACAAAAGAGATGCCAAATAAAATTTGGGTGAACTGTGGATCTACTGGTTTTGCTCAGCCTGTTCTCTATGAAAACAGGCCGGAATACTGCTCCCTATGTTTCCATCTCGGACACAATAATGGTGCTTGCCCCAAACATCAACCTACGACCCCTAAGACAGTTGTGCCCAAAGAAAAGTGGGTGGAAAAACAGAAATCTACAGCTCAGGACATTGTTAATACAATTGACAAACAAGCTACATCTACAAAAGCAGCAGCTCTTAATGATGAGTCTGACAGTGAGGAGATATTCCTGGATACTATGGACCATCCTGTGGTCCCTGAACTCCCAGCTCCTAGCAAGCAAGCAGTTAACCAACCATTACAACATGACTTTCCTGGAATACAAAACAGAAGTCTTTCAGAGATGCCAGCATTCAAGGATGATATCTACTTACTAGATTTGCATAAGCAGATAGTCAGGGATGAAGAACTTCAGGACAAACAATATGCCTCAGATGGTAAACATAAACCCAACTCTCAGATAGATATTCAAAAGTGGAAGGATACCTGGCCGGAGATAGCAGCAAAAATTGATATACTTAGAAAACAAGTTGATGATACTAAAGCACCCTCCACTTCTGAATGCAGTAAACAGTCAGAATCCATCCCAGAACTCCTGGATACAAAACAAACCCCAGATCAATCCTCAACACACCTGGACTCAGATTCATCAATACATATTGGTGAGGAAAATAGTATAGAAATCCAGGAGGGTTTTACAATGGTTACCAATAGAAAATCCAAGAAGAAGAAAGCTATCCATGAAGAACCTCCCAGAATCACTAGGAATGCTGCAAAAAAGAAAACCACATCAGAAGTTCCAGAGTCACATGACAAAACTACAGCCAACAGGCTTTCCATACTTCCCTCAAACATATCTCAATGAATTTCTTATTTTGGAATGTTAGAGGGCTGGAAGCCTCTTCTTCCAGACTTTTTTCTTTAATTAAGCAGTGGAATATCTCCATTTTAATAACTATTGAACCTATTATTGGCAGTGATAGACTTCCAGAGTTTAAGCAGATTTTGGGCTTTCAAGAAGCTATCTTCTCCCCAATCAATAAGATTTGGGGTTTTTGGAACCCTAATGTTGTCTCTATCTCTGAGGTTACTTGGCATCCACAATTTGTCCATATGAAAGCTTCTAAGGATGATTTCACAGGCTGGTTAACTGCAATTTATGGTAAACACAACCATATTACTAGAAGGAATTTGTGGAATTCCCTTCTAACCATTTCTTCTACTATGTCTGATCCTTGGATAGTGGGGGGTGACTTTAATGCTATTGCTAATCATTGTGAGCACAAAGGAAATAGCTCCCCTATTTTAGAGAGTATCATTGATTTCTCTGAATTCATTGCTACATCGGATCTTATTGAATTACCTCATCTTGGCTCTCAGTTTTCCTGGTCTGGTATTAGATCTAACGGTTGGGTTTGGAGAAAACTAGATAGAGCCCTACTGAATAATCTCTTCATTGATCATTTCAGCTCCATCCAGATTTCATACTTGGACAAATCCCCGTCTCATCATAACCCTATTTTGGTCCAGTGCTCTAAAAGTGGTTCCAGTGGTCCTAAATCATTTAAATTCCAGAATATGTGGCTTAGTCATCCTACCTTTTTGGAAACAGTTAAACAAAGCTGGCTTTCAAGCAGAGCTGGTGGTGGTATGAGAGGTTTGGTTTTCAAACTTCAGACACTTAAAAAGGATTT